ACGATGGTACGGGCATGTGAGTAGAAGAGATGAGAACCACAGCACAAGAATGGCTATCTCTTCAGGTCGCTGGAAAAAGAGCACAGGGAAGACCAAAGATGAGGTGGATGGGCAGAATCAGAGCTGACCTGAAAGAGCTGACGAACATCATGCCTTAAAACTTGACTCGCAGAGGACCCTGGGTAGGCGGGACAATGCGAAGAAAAAAAAACGAAACATGATGACACTACCGCTTGACCCCTTTCCTTTTCCTTTCTTCCACTTGGAGTAGGTTTCCCGATATTACGTTTTGAAGGTCGCTACACTCATATTGTGTCTTATCTAGAGTTACGCCATTTTCTCCTCATTTTTCATAGAGCTGTAGCAAATACTAGAGGTTTTCCTCATTCGCAAAACAATGTCTTCGTAGAGCTAATTTCATCTTTACAATCTAAATGCCGTTTATGGCACACTACGGACCACCTACCTGCCGGCATTCTGATCAGCACAATGATAGCCATTTGTATTAGTGAGACATAATTTTATTGTTGGGAAAGATTGTGCGAACGTGCATATTCTGTGTATGATTACTAATAATCTGAATTATCACAAGAGGATAAGGCAGTGCCGAGTGCAGTTGCGAGCATAGCAGCGACGGTTGTCTATGCTTTGGGATACATTTATTCGGCGGCGTAGCAGGAGGTCCCAAAGACATGCCGCCTATCTCTGGAGGTAGCAATTAGAGGTGCGAGCCATCCCGAATGGATCTGGCAACTTTTCAAAAGGTGGGTGCGGCTGCACCCACCGCGCCATAGTGGTATATGTCATCTAAGCCGCGCGTGCGCGAAAGAAAGTCTTTTACAAAAGAGGGGAATGAACCATGTGCGAGGATCACGCGGGACAAGAAAGCAGCGGAAATCTTGCACACTATTTTATCAAATAAAAAGATGTTGGAGAGCTCGTAATACATTGTTTACAAGATGGTCTACTAAACATCAAGAGATGTGCTCAGCATAACATGGCTATATCATTGTAAATATTTAACGGAAGCGATGATATATCTATTTATTTATCCATTACTATACACTTTAGAATCTAACGTCACTGTGGAGCATTATATCAGAACTTTTACAAAGCCATCTAAACTTATACACCACAATTAGAGGTTTGCGCTTGCATTTTTTTCCATTGTATTAAACATTCTGCAATTGTTCGAAATTTCAACATACGGCGACCACATATTACATATTTCTCTCATTTTTTGATTACTTCAACTTGCATACTCAAACGTTCATTAATAGTGATTGTGGTACAGATTGATTTAAGCCAGTTTGGAAAGATGCCAGATCCAACCGAGATGGCTCGCACCTTTAATTGTTACCTCTGGGCATAGGCGGCATGTCTTTGGGACCTTCTGCACGTCCTCCATTCATTCTACACCAGTAGTGGGCATTGCTATAGCCGATTCTTAAAAGATAGCGAAAAGCGTTGCGCACGCCGCTCTTGCGGGGAAAGCGCGGCGTGCCCAACGCTTTTATGTTTGAGTGTGAAGATTTTGAAGGCAAGGTGCTTTCACAGGCAAGGAGGATAAAGTCTTTTCTAAAAATTCACCTCGTTCCTTCTGTTCATTGACAGGTAAAAGGTGAAGCCAAATCTAATAAATATCCAGATGCTTCTTCGGAGGGCGGCTTCGTGCTTCCATACTTCATAAGGATTTGCCGATTCCATTCAGCTTGAAAGCGCTTGAGATCAGCTAATCGGAAGCGGCGCAGGCGGCAGCGGTGGAATAAGCTCTGAGGTGTGTGGGCGAAACGCAAACGAATGTGAACTTCTGCCATTTTGTTTGCACCCCTTTATTAATCATGAATTGCATATCGACTCAATGCCTTTATTACGTTTAAACTCTTACAATAACTTCAAAGCCATGAATCGGCCTTACTAGCAGTTCAGAAATCCAGATATTCAAGAGAGATTCAATTTTGCTTGACATGAAAAGTTGCTATGAAGTCTGACTGTATAAAAATTCGTGTACGATCATTGCGAATCAGGTATCACTGGGTTTCTCAACCCTTTTGGCCATGAATCTCGCTAGTCCACATGCCGCTTCCTCAATACCTTTCGTTGCTTATGGAAGAAACAAGCTAAATCCTGAAGAAAAAGTGTTGCATAGTAAGAAGCTGGTTGAACTTCGGCTGTTATCGCCACAGCAGCTACAGCACAACCGCACTGTACCCCTATCGGCTGAACCTTGTGAAGCACGGAGGAAGTAGTGTGAGTGGTACTGGAATATCTCGTGTTTTCATGGATCTGTATTCATTCTTTCATGGATCCTCTAATATTCAATCTCGTCTTTTGGAGAGTTCATCTTACACCTGTACCTGAAAAGCGAAGAAAAAACGGGAATTTTTCGGATGTCATTTACTATCCTCCCCGCCTGCAAACCATCTGACCTTCGAGTTTCTCCTTCTCACTCAGAGGCGTCGCGCGTGCTGTGCCCTACCTGCGAGATCCCATATACATCCGCAAACAATTGCGTCAAACTGGCACCGCAATAGATTACCCGTTAAGGCAACTTCTAGGGTGAAATGCTTCTAAAAGCAAACTAGGCTCTAGAAAATTCAAAACAATTGATAGAAAGCTAAATCTGACTTGAACTAGTTGAAATATGATGGCACGCATGACATGTCGATTGTTTGTGGACGCATACGGACGTCCTTCGCAATCTGACTTACCCTGCATTTAAAAATCGACGGTTATGTTTTTCTCATTGCCAACAAAATGAAAGCATCTCAAGTGTTCCTTACAAAAATCCATGTGGTTCGAAATCTTACTAGTTAGTTTCATAACACGCTGATTTTTGGAGTGGTATTTAACTTGTGTGATTGCTGCTGGTTTGATTTATTTCTGGTAATGACAGAACTATGTGCTAAGCAAGTCAAATTTTAGACGGCATCGGCTCTGGCCGCTTCTCTTACATGGCTCGCGAAAGATGGGCTGGGAATGATTGGTCGCATCACATTCGGCTATTTCAAAGGTTGGTGTAGTTGCGTTTTCAAATACTGTATGAACGTGGGGTTTCCATTGATTCATTGCAGTCATTTCTGACTAGCACTACTAGCTATGAGAATTTCCCGAGAAAAATAGAAGGCCCCGCACGTCATTTTGCGACCACTTCCAATATAGCCTCGCCTATTCGGCAATACCTCTCACAAGTGCGAGCGATGTCTACACTCTTTTCAGCACTTCTCCCCACTTAAAGCTGACGAGAAACGTGGGAAGGTTTAGAGTAACTCTCTCAAATTAACTCGAAATGTTCCAGCAATTCCTAAACATAAAGTCAACTATAAACTATACACAACGCGGTGTGTATTAGTATAGTTTGTCCAACCGATTTGATCCACATATAACTGGCTGCGAAGTAACGCACGATGTGCCGCAATCTCCTCAGGAACAACACAACAAGTGATTTGTCTGCTTGCCAGTATGTATAGGCTGAGACGCTGTAGCTTTATGTGGGCTTCAGCCGCAAGAAATCGATAAGCGGACAAATCACTTGTGAACCATCAGGCAAAGAGATTGCAGCTTGTCGTAGGCAAGCATAGCTGACAACATGTGGAATGAGCAGACCAAGTTCATAGTGACCACATCCTCAAAATGCTTTCAAATATTGGAAGATTTTAGGGCACTTAAGCCACGTGCCATCCCAAATATAAGGATCCGGTATGGTCGATTGCGCGGACTTTAGTACTGTCAGTGCGTTGCAGCGATAAGCTGTTTGGCACTAGCGCGAACTCGATATAGTCAACCAATCCGTTACTCTGAAATCGCGGCAGCGCCAATAAGCCGTGCCACTGCTGGGGCTGCAGCGACCTCTTGATGCTTCGTCTTTGCAGTCGACTATACATGTTTATGTATGAGTGGTATGCACCCTAAAGAAAAAAATTCTCCTAGCGATGTATGATATTTGGTGCGCAATGAATACTGAGCTGGGTCAAGCTCGAGGTCACAATAAATTGGAACTGAAATAAAAGTACGTGCGTCACGCATTATTTGTCACAGACCGAATTCTGAGGGCACACACTCTGGATTGAAATGAACAGACACTATGATTAACCGAATCTCAATTTTTGGGCTGGGTATATTATAAAACACCATTTACGTTAGTGCTTAAATAGTGTTCATTGGTTTCTTCCCTTTTGCTTCTTTTCTTTTAATTTGCTCCATGAAATTATAGGAACAGAACTGGATTACGACTGTAAGAAATGGCGTCTTGTGGCTGATATTCTCAATGACCTCGCTTTTTTTGTGGACCTTCTCTCACCTGCCTTCTCTGGTTGCTTTTTCGTTTGTGCCTGTACTTCATCGCTTCTTCGCTGTGTGGTTGGTGTTGCGGGAGGAGCTACTAGAACTGCCATAACGCAGCATCAAGTAAGGCTTTAGGCTTATCCCCGCTCTACCACTAAACTCAATTTTTCTTAATACAAGCATCTTTAGGCTCGTCGAAACAACCTCGCTGACGTTGCTTCCAAGGACGGAAGTCAGGAAACTATGGTTAATGTAACAGCTCTTATTGCATCGCTGATCATGCTACCTCTTGTCAGTGGGCACCACACGCTTATCTGGTTTCTTTTTATGGTTGGTTTTCAAACACTGACACAAGAAAATTTCAAGTTTGTAATTTTATGACAGGGTAGCCAATTACTTTTTGTGATTATCCATTTTATTGCGGAAATTGCATCTTTGAAACTGACTTTCTTACAACACATTCCATCTTAAAACTTCATATCTAATCGCATTTTTGCGAAGGTTCTGGGATGCGTTCTGCTCAATGTTTCCGAGTACACAAAAGTTGAAAAGTGCAACATCTTAGCCATGTAAAGGAGTTTTTGATTTTTTGTCATTGTGACGACTATGCGGTATATCTAAACGAGGAGATAGATTTCAAGATGATACGCAGTGCTGGCCAGTGTGTTGGTATGAGGCTAAATCACCTCATCCATTTCTTCGTTCTTAAAATAAACAAGTAGTGGAAAGTTAAACGATCACACCGTACAGTTGAAGTCATTTGCTTTGAAAAATCATTGAATCGAAACATAACTAGTTGTTAACATCACTGTTTAGATATTCACTGCTGTACATTTGTATGCAAATTATCGTGCAGTTCGTTCCTTGAATATGGAAACGCTGAATCTTAAGAGAGCGACCATCCTTATCAGGTTTTCTAAATGACCATCATCCTCTAATACTCTAAAAAAAAACCCTTTTCCAGATCTTGGTTGACTCTTAA